TACTCGGAAGGCTGAGGCAGAAGGATCGCCGGAGCCCAGCAAGTCGAGGCTGCGGTGGCCTGGAGCGGCCACTGCATTCCAGCCTGGGTGGCAGAGTGAGACCCTGACTCAAAAAAAAAATTCTCATGTGTAAGTTTCAGTCACCTTCAAAGTCTTCTCCATGTGATGCAAGACACCTATCAAGACACTTTTTCCACTGCTCAAAACCGTTTTGAATTCATCCATTCTGATGCCTTTAGTGCTTCTGCCGTTTTTTGTTTCGCCTCTTCCACATCGGCAAAATGTTTCCCTTTGCGGGCTTTTTTCGTCCAGGGAAATAAAAATAAGCCACTCGGGATGAGATTGGGTGAATAGGGTGGGTGGGGCGTGGGAGTTGTGCGGTTTTGGTCAAAAACGGCTGAACGCTCAGTGCATTGTGGGCAGGTGCACTCATAAATCACCCATTATGAAATGGCCAAATGCACAGAAAGAATCTCCAAAAAAATTCACTGAAGCTGAATGCAGCCTCTCACAACACCCCTAGCTGGTCCACGGGTGCCGATGGGTTCGTGGAACACTGACCTAAGGGGGGAAGCCTGGACTACAAGAAGCCTGCCCTCCAAAATATAATTCCAGGTTTTTTGGGGTCCCCCTCATAGAAATTTTTTTTTTAATTGTAGAGATGCCTCGCCAAGTTGCTCAGGCTGGTCTTGAACCTGGGGGCTCAGGCAGTCCTCTCACCTCGGCCTCTGAAAGTGCTGGGATTATAGGCATGAGCCACCGTGCCCAGCTGCCCCTCATAGACATCTACTCTGTCATGGGCCAGTGCTGGTGTGACAGCCTAGGACTTCCGGGCAGCTCTGCTCCATGAGGTCATTCAGGCTCGGTCCCCGGGAGCTTTGGATCCTGCTCTGTGATCACAGCGGGCTCAGCACAGCCTCAGCTTCCAGCCAAGGGAAGGGAGAGGGTGTGTGGAGGTCTGCTCAGCCTCAGAGGTGGCCCACCCCAATTCCTCTCGTCCCCACATAGGCCACAACTTGGTCACAAGGCTGCAGCTGGCCCATGCCTGGCACACCTCCGGCTAGACGGAGGAAGAAAGGGGCATTGGCGGATGGCTGTTGTGTCCCACCACCACTGCCTTATCTCAGAGGGCCGTGGCCACTCTGGTTTGTTCACTGAAGAGGGAGGTGAAAGCGGGAATCAGAGCAGATATCTTAGACGCACCAGAAACGTTTTATTTTCATTCTAAACACGGCCGTGTTCTGTGTTCAGTGAAGTACAGCCTGGGACCAGGCATGGCAGCTTACGCCTGTCATCTCAACACTTTGGGAAGCCGATACAGGAGGATTGCCTAAGCCCAGGGTTCAGAGACCTGACTTGGCAACTTGGCGAGACCTCGTCTCAACAATAAAGCACAAAATTAGCCGGGCCTGGTGACGCACACCTGTAGTCCCAGCTACTTGGGAGGCTGAGGTGGAAGGATCGCCTGAGCCCAGCAGGTCAAGGCTACAGTGGCCACCGCACTCCAGCCTGGGCACAGAGTGAGGCTCCCAAGTCAAAAAAAAAAGTACAAGTGCGGCTGCTGGATGAGACCCAAAGTGACAGGCACATAAATGTGGCAGGTGCTTTTCTCTCAAATCACAGTCTACAAAGCAACTGAGGCAGGGACGGTGGGTTCTGCTGTCCCTAGGATGGTGCCATTTCAGGGCCACCTCTGCCCCGGTCAGTGGGAAGGGGACAGGGAAGGACATGGGGGGGGGTGTGTGAGCGCATCCTTGTGCTCTCATCTGATTGGTCAAATGCAGCCACCTGACTCCTTCCAGCCCTAGAGGATGCTGGGAGATGTAGTCCCAGAGGCAGCCATGCCCCAGCTGAGACTTCCATGGGGTCAGAAGACAATGAGTGGGGGTTGTACGTTCTTTCCCACTAACCTTTGGATGTAGAACCAAGGTGGTTTTTTTTGTTTGTTTGTTTTTGTTTTTTGGTTTTTTTTGAGTCGGAGTCTCACTCTGTCGCCCAGACTGGAGTGCAGTGGCCGCTCCCGGCCACCGCGGCCTCGAACTGCTGGGCTCCGGCAATCCTTCCGCCTCAGCCTTCCAAGTAGCTGGAATTACAGGCATGCGCTACCATGCCCGGCTG